CATTAAAAGGCTGTGACAGCACCACATGGACACCCCCCAGTGTGTTGCCTGATCAGCTTGTGATCACACTCACAAATCTCTTCAGTGATGAGGACAGGCGCTAACACACCATTCTTGACATTTTCTAAGGATTACACTCTCACTTAAGATGAACTCATTATAATGATAAATGCCACACTCAGGTAATGACATTAAACCGAAGAATGGGACGGAAGTGTTTCAGAAACTTTTAAGTACATGAAATGTGAGTGCTGCTGTTTAAGGGAGATGATTTTTTTTTTTTGAATTTATTAAAGGATCAGGTTGTTTACCTGAACTTTCTGTATGCACTCTCTAAAGTGTCACACTTTGAAGGACTGAACATTGTTTCACTGAATTTATGTTTGTGAGTTCAAGTCTTGAGCAATGTCCACCACTTTAAAGAGAGAGAAAAGTCAGAAGATTTTATTTTGTAAGTTCCTTTTCCTCTGTCTGTCACACATTACACAACATCTACAGGTCACCAAGTGACCTACTGTCAGTTTTAATCTTTTAAGAATTGTTTTCCTTCCAGCAGTGTTTATTTAACCCCTCATTGTAGCCTGTTTGTTTTACCACTCAATGCAATGGATAGTCTACTTTTGTTATTGTTCAGGCTAAATGGTATAAACACATTTGTTCCTCAACGATTTAAATTTACTGTAGAATTGATGAATATTTAGCTTCTTGTCACTGTGTTCCTCTCATAATACCAAGGCACATCAGGTCACTTAATTAAAGACAATTAAGTGGTTCATCTGGACTGAATGTTTAGGGTGTACTATTGGATGAGTGAGTTGCCTATTTGTTAGCAGGCTTGTTTAGAGCTGTGCTCTAACTTTTTACAGAATTTTCCATCAGTGTACTGATTAAATCCTGATGGATGGGTTAATAGAGCAGCAGGCAGACCACTTAATTGAGTTTGTTTCAGACATCAAGTTTAGGTTCTTCCTTTTATCAGTCCCCTGCTTTCACTTGGACTCATGGGCAGGTGGTGTCTGGATTTTTGCCCTTCGCATCACTAAAGTGCCACTTTATTTTTAGACTTGGATACCTTCTCTCTAACTATATCCATCTAAGATTCACATTTCTTTCTAACTTTTTACAGTCTTGGACCTATCCTAACAATTGTCCTGAACCCCTGAGTTTTCTTTGGGCGCCACCTTGAGGGTGACTTTTGTGGTTCACCGTTAAATATCTGCAATTACTCTCCTCCAGATAAATCTCTTTGGTGATCCTTTAACCTTTGATATAACCACACATGCATACATGACGACAAACAAATAGAGCAAGATTTGAATTTATTACTGTGAAATGCAAACTCAGAGAATATCTCCGTGTGTATTTCTTTTTTCTTTTCTTTTTTTGGCCTGCTTCCTCAGGTTTTCTCACAAATTGGAGGAGCAAGTTGTTGATCTGTGTTGTTGAGGGTAGTTGGCTGGCACAGCTGGACTGTCTTGGGTGTTGGGGGGGAAAAAGCTTGCGCACCCACTTCTTCAAACCACCTCATCTAAACTCTATCAGCTGCAGCCACATGTTACACATCATGATCGCCACAAGGAAACTCATCTCCGGATGGTTTCCAATCTGAAAGAGGTTTTTTCTTCTCATTTGCTCTTGTCAGTTACTGTCTTTAAGCATTCCCATGCTGCTCTCTCAAGGTGAAATTGCTGTCAGGATTTATAAGATAATTTAGTTGCAAAGTAGCTCACAACCTTTTCCTTTGTCATTGTCGGCCTGATTTGAGCAGTTTGGCACAGTCTGACTCTGCAGCATGATATCTATTAGACAGAGAGATGGCCCTCCTGTAAGCACATCACAGGGGGGGCACAGTGGATGTCAGGCTGACAGTGCACTACCATCAGAGTATGCCAAGCACTGAGTTTTAATTACATCATCATTTGTGATCATTAGCCATGATTCCTCCCTCTGCTCATTTCTGACTCCAGGTAATATCAGAGTCCCCTGGGACCTGCTGGTGAAGTGTTTTTTTTTGGTTTATTTTGGTTCCACAATATGGTTCAATGGTTCCATCAAACAGTGTCATAATGAATGATTAACATGAGCATTAATGATAAATGACAGGCAGAGTTTGTGTGAGCGTGTAAATCTGGCAGTGTACTCAGTAACACCATTTAGATCGCCTGAATTACAGATTTATACTGACATGAAGCATACAGTACATGTTTGTTTGCTTTTTTTTATAGCCTTTTGTGTTATTTAGCATTAGGGGGAATTTAAAAAATGCATTTTAATTGTTTCCTTGTTAATCATTACTGCTTGTGTGTTGATGTGTCCACAAGTCAGATGGCAGTTGTTTAATTGTTATAAACTCAGGTGAGGACAACGCTGTACATTAAAAGTATAACATCTGCCTTGAGATTGACAACACATGGTGGTTATGTAATAATTTTAGGTAAGCATTTGTGTTATCTATAATGTGAACCTCACAACAGTTTCCCAAAGTGAATGTGTCCTCAGCATGCATGGCCTTCTGCTTAAATGCTGATGAATAATACATGTACTGTCACTTCCTATGGAAAATAATATTTTAACGTGGTAGAATAACCCCCAGGATAATACGCATACTGATATAACGAGGCTAAAATGAGAGAAAAGTGAAAAGTTTGTCAGAGTAAGCGGAGGGCGACATCAAACTCTAACTACAGCAGATACAGAATGAATAATTTTATCATGGTTTAGCATTTTAAATGCCTTAAGTTTCCACATGAAGAACCCTTTAAAGGTTTACGTCATCTATTATATCTCCTGATCAGATGCTACCATGACAGAAACGGACATTCAGGAGATGTTTACACTCTAACTTCACAAATGCAGAGGATTAGCCTTCCTTCTGATGTTTGCTCCACACCTTTTGCTTTTCATGTCAAAGGTGTCTCACGATTAACTTTTTGACCTTCTGATGTTTGCTCCACACCTTTTGCTTGTCTCACGATTAACTTTTTGACCATTCAGGAGAAAAGAAAGAGTTTTGGTTTCAGCATGTTGAACATTATAGAGGTTTAAGTTTATTTTAATGGTGCTGGAGAACTTGTTAAGGCTTTTTCTCCACCCACATCATCCTTGACCGGAGGTGGAGACATAATAATCAAAATGTAATAATGATGCTTTTTAAAATGATTCCAACTTTTTATGTCTCATGTGTGTATGAACAATATGTTTTAATTACTGTATGTTGTACACCCCCCAATTTTTGGTGATAACAATGTGATCAGCTGATGCATTGATTTATTAATACATTTTCTTTACAGAGCACCTTTCTAAAAAAAAGTTTACAAGGTGCTTTACAGAGAATAAAACCAAAACAATGCAACAGGGACAAAATTATAACACAACTTAAAAGAGAAAAAAAACATTACATTTTTTAAAAGTATGATTAAAAGATTACAGGAAGACTAGTGTGTAAAAAATCTTTTAAGATGAGACAGACTCAGCCAAACTGATTTCTTCAGGGAGAGAGCTCTGACTGCAAATACTCAAACTCCTTCATTAGGACGTTGGAACAGCCAGAAAGGCGGCATCTGTCGGCTTCAGTGAACAGGCCAGCGCATAATGATTAAAAGTTCTGAGAAGTATCTCAGGAGCTTAGAGCCAGCCTTGGCTTTAAAAGTAATAAGTATCATTTTAAAATCAATCCTAAAACTAACTGGCAAAGTGCTAAAATAGGTGTAATGTGCTTTTGTTTGTTAAAATCTTGGCAGCTATAATCAGCAATAATTGCAGTTTAATAAGTTTTTGTTTATTTTTTGATAAATAAAAGGGTTGGCTGGCAAAATGATAGGAAGAAATGAAGGCAAGGGTAACAGTTTCCAGATTTATGGTAGATAGAGTGCGATAAAGTGCCAACATGACATAAACTGTGATCTATGTCCTTTGATGCTTAGTGTGCCCATATTTGTGATGACACAGGGGTATAAGACAGCAGGCAAAGGAGTGATTGACTGCTGTGGGTACTAACATCCAGAAGTCTGAAAGCTGGTGAATGGCAGATCCTTTGCTGTAATCTGGATCCCCACAGAGAGAACTGGAGCCTTTGTTGAAGGAGGTAAGACAAAGAGCGTGTATACTGTTTTATTATACTGTTTGATAGTTGGAACCACATGGTGATTCATCTTTATTTATACACAAAACAACTGAGCTAGCAGTGATGTAATCAGAAGTACCCATCCATCAGTTGTTGCTGATACCAAAACAAAGGGTATTTTTTATATCAAATTCAGCTGACCAAAGCTCAAATCATGCTGTATTTAACCAGCAAAGTCATCCAGCTGCTTGCCCAAAAGATCCTGAATTTGATACTTTTTCCCAGAGAAGTAGACCAAAATCAGACGTAGTAAAGACCAGTTCAAAATGATCCAGCAGGTATCTTCCTGCCATCCCACAGTCCAAAGACATGCAGCTTAGGTTGACTGGTGACTAAATTGCTTGTAGTGTGTGCTTGTCTGTCTCTAAGTGTCAGCCCTGTGATAGACCGGCAAACTGTCCAGGGTGTACCACACCTCTCACTCAATGTCAGCTGAGATTGGCGCCCCCCACCACCGCTACCATCCTCAGGATAAACGGTATAGATAATGGATGGATGGATGTTGCAGCAGGGAGTGGATACTGTAAGACGGCAGCGATCACCTACACTGTTTTAGGTCCCATTTTTCCTAGAGTCTCTCTGAGGCTGAACAGGCTTTTTTTTGAGGATTTATAATCAGGTATAACATTATAACGATGACTGGCCTGTAATGCCCCTACTCTGCAAATGAAAGAACTTTCTATATTCCCTTTAAAAGAGCCAATGAATTAGATACATACACTAGATACCCATTTTTTTCTTACTTTAAGCAGGCAAATTTTATAACTTTTATAGCTTGTATTAGATGTGGAAATAGAGTATAGCAATAGGAACATGTAAAACCCAGACCAGGAGGCAGGATAAGGAAGAGTTTAGAGTAACTGTAGCAGCTCTGTCTCATCTTTAATGAATTTGGGCAAGTTTACAGTCTGTTAACCTCAGTTAGTTATCCATGTTACACATCAACAATACTGGTTAAAATATGAACAGAGCATAAAGCTAACATGAACCTCTGTTTTGCTTGTCCAAGTAACGTTGACACATGAAATAACAGTCCGACCTTACATTTTTTCCTTATTGTATTCATAATACTAGTTTGACACTGCAATACGAGAACAGTGCTATTTATTTAGTCCTATACATGAAACATGGTGGTGATGGTGATGATGCCCTTTTTCTTTGGGACATGTGGCTTTAAGGTGCTAGCATACTATATCACAACAGGGCATCAGATAGGCGAATAGCTTTGGCAACCCTATCCTGCAACAGCTTTCTTGAGGCCTGTGCCTGACTATTTTTGTAACCGAAACCAGCAGTCTGACATTCACACATACTTTGTGTCATGATTGGCCAGCTGTGCGGAGGTGGGAAAGTAAATGGGCCTTAGCTTCAGGCTTTCAGCATGTCATACATGCATGCATCCATCAAGTTGACTTGCATTTTAAAATACATCTGCAGGAAACCGGCCAACTCAGCCAGAGATGGTGTTTTCTACCAACTGATGGTGCTGATCAGTTGGCTAGAGCCAGTCAATTCTGACACTTGTCACTTCAGACAGGAAAATTTTGTGGTAGCTGGTTTGAGTGCTAAAACCACAGTTTATCGTAGGAGACTACACAGCCATACATATGGAGATGTACTTCAGTAATTCAGGTGTTTCAAATGCTTCCATGCACCTGTGAGTAGGACTTAACGACGTTGTAGCATCTTTCATAGAGTGACTGACTGGTCTTCCGGCTCTGTAATCTGCAAATCACATGCTGAGAATGAACTTTTTCTTTCTGACTTCCTCTCTTCTTTCAATACTTGACCTTTGGAACTTGTGTAAAAACCTTTCCCTGCCTCTTCAGGATGCATATTTTCCACCTGCAAAAGAAAAAAAGGTGCATTGGTTTCAAAGTTGACACAGGATTGTGCCATTTCCAGCAGCTCTAGTGGTTGGTTTCCGTTTAGACTAATTTCATCCCACAGTAAAATAGCTTGAAATGAGTTCTCCCTGAGGCTGCCTGTGGCTCACGCTGGGATGAATACTGATTGTGTGTTTGATTGTAATTATTCCAGATTGGACTCCAATCAACTACTTTGTTTGCTTCTCAGATTTTTTGAATTGATGAGTTACATGACATTTGGGTGTGCTGTTTAGCCCTTTTGTGTGTCTAAACTATAGACAGCTCTCAGAGGTAAAGCCACCGAGACGCAGTCGCCCCCCTGGTGGCTTGTTGCAGTATAGGTCATAAATCACATCTCCTCTATGTTAGTGGATGGGACATGAGCCAAAATAAAAACTCAAAGTACAAATCAAATAATGTTTCCCAGAGGTGATTTTTGTGGCTTTTGGTAGATATTATCACACTGATGTGTGTGCAACTGGTCAATTGTCTGGTAAGACTATTTGATGGCATAAAAATTCAGTGGATATGACAGAATGTGGTTGCAAAATGCCAAGATGGCAGCCCTGTTGACAGTATTTTGATTTCATTTTTGCATAGTGGAGGGAAGTGGTGACGTGATGTCTATATTTATACACAGTCAATGGTTTGAACATACTGAAGGCATTTTACCATCAAATGTTTAGCAGACTGGCGACCTGTCCAAGGTGTACCCCATTTCTCACTATAACTCTGATTTACAAAGCTGTTGTAAGATATATTTTTCCTCTGTTGGCCGGCTGCTTCTCCCTGCTTCCACTCTATTGTGCTAAAGTGAGGCTAAACACATCCTAGACTGATGTGTTTTTATACAGGAGGGACAAAAATGAAATTGGTATCAATTTTCTTATCTCTCAAGGCGGCAACAAAATATCAGCAGAGCCTAAAAGACACACATCTGAACTGTGCTCATGCTGATGCTCTCAGAATAGCATTATCCTATCCAAATAATAGTATACACAAGATAAACACACAGCTTCAAATGTTTCCAGCAAGATAGTGGGCTGAGCAGAAGTAACTTTCTCTTCAGCGTAAGTTGTTTGATGTGTGAAGGTCTGAAAACATGTCAGAGCCTTGGCAACTGAAGAAAAGAGAATCATCCCTCGAAGGACTTCACGAGGCTGACTTGACAACAGGAACAGCGAAGATGTGTGCCCAGCTGATTTAGAACTGACAAAGTTCCCATAAAAATAAGAATTAGTTTTAACAGCACAGCTACACTGGGTAACTGTAGTGTAGCTCGTCGTATACAAGGCTTATTTTAGTTGTAATGAAAACAGGAATCTGTTACCATAAAATAAGAGAGAGCTTTGCACTATTGTAAATGTCCTGTTAATTTTGTCCTAATGGAGATGACTTCAGTTTGACAGATGGAGGCTGTCCACATTTTCTCAACTTCACATTGATAGAGGACTTTATTTCATATACCTACATTAATAGACATGCAGAGTAATCTTAAGAGAGAGACTGACAATATACCTGGTTTACACTAAACTGAACTGCCAAACTTATTATGGGTAGAGTTTTAAATCATATGTGTTAAAGCTCCTATTTGTAGGATTTGTACATTTTGGAAATTGGACTCAACACTTTAACACTGCAGAAGACAGCCATGCTCACTGACACACAGGGGCAGAAATACAGTCTAATTTATATTTAAAATAATATATGCCATCAGAGTAATCTGTAAAATGCTATAGTCACATAATCGTTCTGCATATTAGGACTGAAAGCTACACTCTAGGTTAAAGAGCTGAAATGAATAAAAGTGAAAGGGTTCATAGATGAGTAATTTAAAGAACATTATTAGTATTAAAATATTTAAATAGTCAATTTGTGGAAAACGTAGACACTTAAAATATAAAGCAGTTATTGAAAATGTTCATATTACACTAAAAATCTTTTTGTCAAATATCTGTTAATTTGGGGAAGGGTTATGGTTAGGCATTTAGTTCTGATGGTTAAGGTAAAGGGTTAGGGAATGCATTATGTCAATGAGTGTCCTCACAAAGATACAAGTGTGAGTGTGACTGCTATGGAAATCAGTGCATTTGTTCTGTCTCACTATAACAAACCTTTTCATCCCAGAATCCTGTGTTCACGGAGCATTAAAGCTTCTTGTTATGCAGTCACCTCAAATATTTTACTTTTCTCCAGGTGCAGTCTTAGGAGGCACTTCCTGTTAAAGTCTGAATCAAACTTTCAATTTTGAATCATTAAGAGGTTTCATATTAAAATGTGATACAATAATACCACATAAAGAGTTTTGATATATGAAAATAACAGACAAGGAAGAGATGACTGGTTTTGGAGCATGACCAGAACGTTAGGGAAAGTAAACAACACCCAGGCTCAACAACTTTACACTCTGTGATGAAACTTTCTAAAGCTTGTTTACTTACTATTTATTTCTAGAGTTCAGTGTTTTCAGAAGGCAAAAGAAGACTAATAAATTAACCATGAGAATAGTCTATTTGATCACATATACAGTACAGTCTGTATTTCCCAGGTCGAGAAAGTATCAAACTCTTTTATTTTCTTAAACTTTTTAGAAAATTGTTCTCATGTTTGAGTCTGACACATTCTACAGTGTTATGAATATACAACTTTATATTCTGTTTAAGTATACTAATATCACTGCTCTCTCAAGAGGAATTTAAAAACTGATGGTGTTGTTCACACATTCTTTGCATACTCCTTTGCAATTGTTGTAAATATACAATGTTTTTGCCAGATTTTGGTACAATATGACAAAAATATTGGCATGTTTGGAACATTCCTGGTATATGCATCGACGGCAGAGAAATCGATTATAGTCTGAGAAGTGTTTGTAGTCATATGAACTTTTTCTGCTGTGAAAACTTGATAAGAGTTGGAGTCCATTGTAAGTCTTCACAAAATTTATGAGACGTCTTTAAGCAGTCACATTTCAAGTCCAGGAAAAGTGTGCCAGAAAGAGACCTTTTAGTATCTTGGTGTCTTTTAAGACATAAGCTACTGTCTATATGGATTTGAAAACAAGAGCAGTCACAGGAACCTGTACCATCAACTAATGCCACCAGCCTACCTTTCTGTAGTCAGTTAAAGTCTGCTTTGCAACAAAGCGCCTAAGCGGCTTTGGATGAAATTCTTCTTTATCCTCCACTGTCAGTCTTGGAATGGCCGTCATTGGGCGAATAATGCCCGGCTTTGTCTGGACAGAATGACAAAGTTTTACAGCAGAGAAGAATTCAGTCTCATAAGTTGCTCTGCAAAACGCTTTATATTGTCAGTGTTATCAAACTTGGAGCAGGACAAATAATTGGATGAGTACCGTTTTAGGATCTGTCAGCTTTCTTCCCACACCAGTAGATGGGTGCAAGCTGCATATAGATGCCTGAATGAGAAAATGTGGAAGAAAAAGCAGGTAAAAGCACATGCCCTTCAAACAACACATCTTTGTTCATGCATGAGACACCTGCAAACATGAAAATAATATACCCAAAATAAAATGGTTATAGCTGAAGTGAAGTTAAAGATGCTAACACTTTGGATTTGCAGCTACAAGCCTGAACCGATTCTGTGCCAAAGTCACTGATGATGACACTAAAAATGAGCATTCTGCATTGTTATAAAGACTAAATGGAATCAGGAGACTTAAAGCTTTCAAACAATGTGGAATTTGAGTCTGGTCCAAACCAGACCACATCTAAAACCCCTAAACTGGCACCCCCTGGAACAAATTTTAATTCAGGAGACAAAACGGTCTGACTCTCACTTACATATTTGGTTTCACGTCCCAAGGACTTTGGAAGTGATGACTTATTCTGCTGAAAGTGAAAAAAGAAAAAGTTTTACTTGATCTTCATCTAGTGGGTAAAGGGAAACATTTTAACGATTCAGTCTTGCAGAAAAATGTCTGAAACGAAGAAGATGAAAAGAAATCCTTCACGGGGACTGAACATATTTGGAGATTGTGAGTGTACTCACATCTGCAAATATGTTCAGTAAACCTAAAGCAAAATTTTGTCTTTATCAGTGCACATGCCCAATATTTTATTCTTATTTATATTTAAGTTCAAGTCATTGTTTCTCTTCTTGCTGCCTTCTCTTCTTCTCCACGATTTCAAGTCACACATTGTTATCACACTAACCTTGATCTTGGGGAAGCTTCTAAATTCATACCACACTGACGTCTCACGGATGACAGTGTACACACACACACACACACACACACACACACACACACACAGACACCTTTGTTCTCTCTGTAACCACAGGAAGATTTCTCCTTTGAGCTCACTTCCAGTTTATGTTTCAGTAAAACACAGTACAGAGCACTTTCTACTTTCTCTTATATCTTACTTCAATTTTTTGAGATGAAGTCCAAGCACATTGTTTTACTGTAACATCTAACTACTGAACACCATGCACTTGACAGTTTTTTCAATAGTCATATATTATTTTATATTTTTGTATTTAGCCATAGTATTTTTTCCATATGTCTTTTGAATTTCGACAGGAACGAAGCTGAACCACTCTTAGATATAAGATACTGCAGATTTATTGCTTTTCTTTTTGAGGGGAAAAAGCCCGTGGACTCGTCTGTGGGTCGCATAAAGAGGGCAGCAGCCTGTGTTGGCTCTCCTTCATGGATAACTTGAAGTAACAGTTAGAAGTAAGCGTGTTAAGCTGGAAGTAAAACTGAAAACTACAGTAGTTAGCTAGCTAGCCCTGATAGGGTGGCTACTTGGCTGAGCCGGGCATACAGTGGTGTGAAAAAGTGTTTGCCCCCTTACTGATTTCTTATCTTTTTGCATGTTTGTCACACTGTAATGTTTCAGATCGTCAAACAAATTTATATATTAGTCAAAGATAACACAAGTAAACACATCATGCAGTTTTTAAATGAAGGTTTTTATTATTAAGGGAAAACAAAATCCAAAACTATATAGCCCTGTGTGAACAAGTGTTTGCCCCCCTGTCAAAACACTGGTTTATCGCACCTGAGTTCAATTTCTATAGCCACACCCAGGCCTGATTACTGCCACACCTGTTCGCAATCAAGAAATCACTTAAATAGGACCTGCCTGACAAAGTGAAGTAGACCAAAAGATCATCAAAAGCTAGACATCATGCCGAGATCCAAAGAAATTCAAAAACAAATGAGAAAGAGAATAATGAAGCTCTATCAGTCCGGAAAAGGTTATAAAGCCATTTCTAAAGCTTTGGGACTGCAGCGAACCACAGTGAGAGCCATTATCCACAAATGGCGAAAACATGGAACAGTGGAGAACCTTCCCAGGAGTGGCCGGCCGACCAAAATTACCCCAAGAGCGCAGCGACAACTCATCCAAGAGGTCACAAAAGACCCCACAACAACATCCAAAGAACTGCAGGCCTCACTTGCCTCAGTTAAGGTGAGTGTTCATGACTCCACCATAAGAAAGAGACTGGGCAAAAATGGTTTGCATGGCAGAGTTCCAAGACGAAAACCACTGCTGAGCAAAAAGAACATAAAGGCTCGTCTCAGTTTTGCCAGAAAACATCTTGATGATCCCCAAGACTTTTGGGATAATACTCTGTGGACAGACGAGACAAAAGTTGAACTTTTTGGAAGGTGTGTGTCCCATTATGTGTGGCGTAAAAGTAACACCGCATTTCAGAAAAAGAACATCATACCAACAGTAAAATATGGTGGTGGTAGTGTGATGGTCTGGGGCTGTTTTGCTGCTTCAGGCCCTGGAAGACTTGCTGTGATAAATGGAACCATGAATTCTGCTGTGTACCAAAATATCCTGAAGGAGAATGTCCGGCCATCCGTTTGTGACCTCAAGCTGAAGCGAACTTGGGTTCTGCAGCAGGACAATGATCCAAAGCACACCAGCAAGTCCACTTCTGAATGGCTGAAGAAAAACAAAATGAAGACTTTGGAGTGGCCTAGTCAAAGTCCTGACCTGAATCCAATTGAGAAGAAATTGAACTCAGGTGCGATAAACCAGTGTTTTGACAGGGGGGCAAACACTTGTTCACACAGGGATCTATAGTTTTGGATTTTGTTTTCCCTTAATAATAAAAACCTTCATTTAAAAACTGCATGATGTGTTTACTTGTGTTATCTTTGACTAATATATAAATTTGTTTGACGATCTGAAACATTACAGTGTGACAAACATGCAAAAAGATAAGAAATCAGTAAGGGGGCAAACACTTTTTCACACCACTGTAATTTAGGGAATAGTTTGCCAAGAGTTAGAAGAGATTTAAACCACTCTTATATCTGCCGACAGCCGAAAGCTTAGCTGAAGATAAAGACAAGAACAACTTGGCTCTGTCCAAAGATAACAAAATCCACCTGCCTCTCTAAAGTTCAATAATTTTAGGTTACGTGCAGTACATTTTGATGTCACACATGAGGAGACAGTCAGGCACAGATTCACCTGTAAAACCACAAACTGTGTTATATACACCTCAGTTTCTGAACCATCTTCTGCTCCAGCTTCTTGTTTACTGTACAGATATTAGAGTGGTATTAATTTTCAAATTGAACTATAGATAAAAAGCATATTTGCTAAAATGTCAAACTATTCTTTCATGAAGCCTAAACTCAGGAGTTTATGATCTTCCCACACTGCTTCACATGCTGTTAAAGAAACATGCGTTACCTGGAAACCAGCGCTGGTCGTTGATGATCCAGCCAGCTGAGGTGATGGGGATGTTTTGCACTTAAAGGTTGCAAAAATAAACCAATTTCATTACTTTTAATTTTACAAACATCCAATAAACATGTTGTTTAAATGTATATGATTACTCCTCAAATTAGCTAAACTCACTGGTGGAATGGAATTTGCCAATATCTCATCAATAACTGTGTAAAGTTCTTCTGACTTTTGCCGGAGCTGAGCAGGTGAGCACATCTGTAAAAAGCACAGGTTTACTATGTTACTAGTCTGTTGAGTGATGTGCACAGTGAAAACCAGCAGCGACGCGTGCAGTAATACCTCACTGTGGGTGTCTGAAACACTTCTGTCCAACGTGTCACAGGAGCTGGTTGCTCTCTCTACCTGCTCATCAATCGCCTGTGAACACAAAGCAGAGTGAACAGATGGAGCTCCCTGCTGAGACCTCTGCTTCCTTTGAGTCATTACACACTAGTCTTAGACAGCATCTCCAAATAATTTACATTCATCCACCCTGTGTTCCTGATAGACGGTGCTCCCTCCTCTGCAGCTCTACATGTATCTGCCATATTTTCATGTCTCTCGGCATGAGGTGACTTTTAATGAGATTTAAAAATAGCTGCTCTTTCAGTTGCACTACATGTTGCTTGTAAATCCTTATGAAACAGGTTGTCTGTCCTTTTTTCTTGTCTCAAATTTTGTAATTAGGAGTGTAAACCTAAGCTTGAGCTTTTTATGTAAAAAGCCCCCATTTTATTTCCAGGTTTCTTCAGCTTAGACGTTTATTCCAATTTTACATTCTTTGTGTATATACTGTAGCATCATCAGTTTCTTATTAGGGCTTCATATAGCTGGATATCATTAAGAGGATAACTAGATAAATTAGTGGGATTACAGTCAAATAAGGGAACTGACCTGCTGATCCAACAGAAGGGTGTTTGTGGGAATTGCAGCGAGCGATTTGTAGCCTGGCTTAATCTTGTGTGTCTAGATTTTAAAGAGAGAGAAGAGCAGACAACAAATATAAATGAATTTATTAATGGAATTTGAATAATTTAGATGAATGTTGTAAAACACCTCGTCAAACTTCACCATAGAGCGTTTGTTCTGCATTCCTGTAGGCATGCTTTATCTCACACTGCTGTAGGCTACTAATCATGCAAAACAGCCAGCCACTGTTCATCTGCTCTCACGGCACTGGGGAAACCACATAGTTTTGTTGCTTCTCAAATGGCTCGTTTCCCTAAAGAGCTCAGTTACAACCAAACTTTTCCACACTGACGGGCAAGAAAACTAGACAATTCCTGATGGCTAATACTGACAATAGTTGTCTGACCTAGAATCTGGAGTTTTAAAAAGCTGCTACAACAATTTTACAATGATGGGTTTCCTCTTCTACAACATATGACATTTAAGATCTTTCAAATCACCAGGAAGCAACAATCTGTAACAACATTAGTAAATATAGACATCTAAAAACAGCTCCACACAGAGAGCAGCACTTGATATCCTCATATCAAGTGAGTGAAATCTGTTTTTAACTGCAAAGCACAGGAGAACAACATGTCAGAGAGCATATTAAATAATATCATCAGTTTAAACAAGTCATATGGCAAGCAGAACAGCTACCTTTCTTTTTTTACCGTCCCTGTCACTGCAGTCTGATATTCCACTCCCTGGCCGTGGGGAGGGCGTGGGGCTCAGGGAGAAAGCAGGGGACAGGGTTAGCTCTCTGACTGGTGGAGCAGGGGAAGGCGTAGGCGTGGGGGAGCTGGTGGGCGACGGCCATCCAGGGAAAACAATGGGTATGTAGCATGAGGGGGGCAGGCAGTGAGCTTTGTGAAAGCCATGAGACGGTGTGGAACCTTTGGAATCAGGGCAGCTCCTCTCTGACTCACACCTCCCTGTGATGGTTTGTAAAGGAGTCGGAGGTGATGGTGCATCTGTGTGTGCAGAGAACACTGCGACACCGGGGGGGTCTGATTGAGAAATCTGAGGCTGAGGAGGGCAGACCGGTGGAGATCTCAGTCGTTCAGAAAGCAGCCGAAGCCTTAAAAGAGATGAATTAGACGAGTGACTCTGCTTCTTGGGTGCAGAGGTTTTTTGCTCATTAAGTTTAGGAGATGGGGGGATGAGTTCTTTGAGGTTATTATCTGCATGGCCCTTGAGGTACATGTGCAGGTTGCTGGGTTTCAGCTCGTGGGACTTGGAAATGGATATGTGTGTGTGATTGGAAGTTGGACAGTCTGATATTTCTTCATGCTTTGGTAGAGAAACAGATTTGAAGTTTGAACAAAACATAGGCAGTGGAGGTGGGAGTAGTGTGTTGCGCTTCACTGGTGGGGGTGATGTAACCTGCTCCCTTCTAGGCACACTGCTTGAGCAAATATGTTCCGAGCATCTTTTAACTTGAGGTTGAGGAGCAGTGACAGATCTATTAGGTTTCCTGTGAGCCTGGCTTTGAAAATCTGTCGATGGTGATGAGGGGAACCGTGAGGAAATCTCCAGGGGAATGGAGGCCACACTGGAAGCTGCAGAACAGGCTTTACAGAAGGACAGGGTCACAGGGTTAACAGGCCAGCAGGGGGTGTAAGGCCTCTTCAGGGCAGACGATAGAACAGGAAGACGACCTTTCCTCAGAATGGCAGTGAGGAGGGAGAGTCGGGTGAGAGGAGGCCGGCGCCGTGGACGGGACTGGGGACAGACGGAGCAGGACAGGCTCCCGCAGGATGAGAAACAGGTTTGAGGGATGTTAACCAGACTAGTGCCAGGAGCCAGAAAATGCCTCCTGAACTGGACGACAGCAGGGGAGAAGATGCCAGAGCGGACAGATGAGCAGGCAGAGATAGTGCAGCTTAAAGTGACAGGAGAGGTTACAGAGGAAAGGCGCATGGCAGACCAGCTCTTCTCTTTGTCTGAGCCCTCTGAGAGGATGGACTCTCTGGATGAAGCCGGTGTGGGGAACAGGTCTGTGGAGTCTGTGGGGCTCATTTTGTCTTCCGACACAGACGCTCTATTTACAAAGCAACCCAAGCTAACCTCAGCACGTTCAGAGGAATCGCGACGCTGCTGCTGCGAAGTGCCCTTGTGTTTATCAGCAGCTGTTTCCATAGAGGCCGTCAGGGCAGCTAAATGACTGGATGTATTTTCAGACTGAGAGCTGACTGAAGGAGAGGCTTTGGTGTCAGAGAGGCTCATGGGATCCAGTGAAGGCTTCCACTAAAAGAACAAAACAAGTGTAGGCAATTACTGAAAATGAACTTTCATTTCAAGCTTTTGAAGAGTCAAAAATGTGCTGTAATATTTGCATATTAACTTATTTTTAGATTAAGCTGTTAAATTTGAAAAGTCATAGTTATGTAAATCTTTTTTTCAAATTATCTCCCGACATGCAGTATTGTGCATGTCAACAATGAAAGTGTATATTCGCAGCTACCTGTAACTCAATGCCCTGCAGAAATGCATAGCACACACATACAAATATCTATACTGTACAATGCCCATAACAGCTTTCTGTCATGGTTTCCACATGACATTGAGAGTGCTCATGTTGTACTTACCTGACTTTTTGTCTCTGGTTGGGTTATGTTTCCTGCTCCTCCCTCCATGAAGTCCTTGATAAAGACTACTTCTGCCTTGAAAGCCTCTCTGTCCGACACGTCCTCCTGACAGGAGAGAGTGAAGCAAACATTTAGGAGGAACTGAGCCAGTGAAACCTGAGAAAACCAGAGGTGAAGTTTAGCAAGCCTCTCTGAGCTTGGGGGTGTGTGCTTGGTTTCACCACACCACATACCCCACATGGACAATTCACATGCACATACACATGTCCTGCCTCCAGAGCTGAACAACTGAGGCTGGGTCGCTGTACACGGGCAGCTTTAGAACCGTCTCCAAAGAACTTGTTTAGCATTAAGTACAAACCAGTAGTAAGACTTTACATTTATCTATTTATTTATCTGTTTTGTTAATGTATTCATATCACTAAATTAGGGTGGGTGCAAATTCATGTTGGACAAAAACAAACTCATTCTGTTGTTACAGAAACATTGCCGTTGCATCCTATAAGATAGGACAGGTTTATTTTAGATGCATGAACCCAAGTTAAAAGAATATTCTAGGATAATGTGCGTGACATTTAGGTGGAGCTAAAATGGGTACTGTGACTGCTTATGACAGGCATCATTACTGATGATCGCCCACATTTGTGGTAATTATGGTCCTCAAAATGCACAGGGTACTGCCTTATAATGACAACCTTCAGTTTCCCTGACTGCTGTTCATTCGCCTTAGGCAGTAATCAAACCCATGAGTGGCCAGGAAGACATTTATTGCTGGAACTGCTTAGGCCAGTAATATTACATGTGTTAACAATAGTTATATTTTGGACTTAATGCAGAATTTTCTGTGTGTAAAATAACTGACATGTGACATGCTGACTGGAAACAACATTAAATCTACTGTCAAAACCTTCTATTACTTTAATTTATCACGTTTAGTTAAATAAAATAGGACAAACACATGAGCTCAGTTTATTCTAGTGACTCTTTAATATTAGTTGAACTAAGTGTGTTGGCAGGAATCGAAACAAAATGTCTCAGAGCAGTTGTACTGGTTATTTCAGTACCAGTCAGACATTTGGACACACTTTCCTGTTCACTTCACTGGTAGTGTATGCTCACCTGCTGTCACCAGTCTGAACACAGTCTGCACAAAGGCTAAGTAGGAATAGAAAAGAAACTCCTGCCTTTTGGAATAGGATGATAATTAGACATGGAAGCTCTGAACATCGTGTTGTATAAATGTAAACTGCAAATGACCTGGGCATTACATTGCTGTATTACTGCAAAAGTCATGCAATTTATTTCTTTTGAAGAGGACATTTTGACAAGCTCTAAATCACAGTGGTGACTTAATGAGCTGGCATCTGTTTCACGGCTAATCCTTTACATTCTGCCCGTTGCAATCTGAATATATGCAATTACACTCCGCCCACAAATTTCAGCTCTTTGGTTGTCATGCAGCTTAACCATAGGTGAATTGATATCAGACTTGGAGAAATTTAGAACTGATGTTGTGACAAATTCAGCACATGCTCTACAAAATCTTGCTTGATGCCAAAAATATAATAGCGTTAATCCCAGTGAACCATGTTGCTTATATCAATAGCACATGCAACACCAGCGCAGTGTAAATTGTCACCACCAGGTGCTACAGCATTTGATAGTCAGTGTAGTGTTGACACTTTTTTCCTGTGAGCGTATCTCAGTGAACTTTGAACACTGGCTTAGAGTTTTTGTTGTTGTTTTTAACATCTAACACTGTAAAAGTGTTAATAATGTGAACACTTTCAAAAGTGTAGTAGTGTAGACACTTTGAAAGTGTTGAATTGAACTTTATAGGTGTTGAATTAACAATGCTGATTTTAGTGGGTAAAGGGTGAGTGTACTTCTTCTAACTGATATCAGCACAAACACCTGGCTGTCCTGTGGTGCCCTGCTATGACGTTGAGTGATTATCCATTCAGCTATCGGCTCCACTGGGAGTCCAGACCTGACTCAGGGAGCCCCTGCTATTGGTTATTTTGTATTAAAGTAGTTCCTCTATACAAAGCTGAGCTCAAGGTCAACATCTGTCAAAAGACAAAAACCAACTTTAATTTTAGTTAGAACCGTTTTGGTTTCAACACATTTCCTTCTACTGTATATAATGCTCTTTTATATCTATATAAAAAAAGAAAAATCAGGCCAACATCAGAACAATGTCAATCAGAGCATCTGATTCAGCCCCTGAGGTTGTTCAGAAATATGTTTGAAACTGATATCTCGAAACATGCTGTGAGAGTCGGGCGCCTGGAGGAGATAAATAATTGGATGACATCAAATCATATCAGTGATGTTCATTCCCACAACAGTGTAAAAAGTAAATATATAACAAGATGTTTCTTATGCATGTTGTGACTGTAACTTTATAAGGCTGCAGGCATGAGTGAGACTGAAACTTCCCCAGGAGCTAAGCTGTGTCCTTTATTTCTCAAGCCACTGGCATAATTAATGACTAGGAACTAGAGTCATTTGAAGAAGCCTGAAAGTTGAAGAATTAGACTTTCTGGCTTATGAACTTCAAACAGTTTTCCATTTCAATTTAAAAGTAATCAGACTTCAGAGGAACCTCTTGCTCACTGTCCATCATCCATATTTCTCCACATTATACAAGATATTCTGCTTCTACTGTGGGAAGTGTTTGAATCAACATTATTCAATGTGAAATTTAGAAAATTGCTTTAAAATATTGTAAGGCTAGGCTCCTAGGTTTTGATAATAATGATGCATGTTAAATTTGGAATAGACTGTGAAACAGGAGGTCATATCTGTCACATCAAATATCCTGTAGGACGAAAGTGGTCATATTCATGCAGGGTGCATTTACTCTTTAACATTTAGTACCATGCAAAAACTCAATTTTGATTAGGTAGGAGTCAGACAGGCAGGTGAGTCAATATTTCTCAACTTATGAAGCATGACAGAGTTTGTCTGCCCAGTTCAGTCTAATTAAACACAAGCCCACACTAAGCTGACAAGGCGGCTATACAAAGAAAAGACAATTAACTCCTCTACAATTAACAACAGGTATAAAATAAGCATGCATTTTGATAAACACCTTGTAATAACAGCAGTAATCATTTTACAAGTGATTAAAATCAGTTGGCAGTAATGTCACTCTTCACTCATTTCGCTGTGTGCTGTAGCTGTACCGTATTTTGTTTTCCTGTCAGAGCTACAGGCCTCTCCTGCTCGGCGATAATGCTTTTAAATGGTAATTTCTGAACCACTGGAACGAATGTGAAACCTGATGGCTTACATGGCGCTCCTGTTGAAACCTGAAAAACAGAGTAGAAGAACAAATCATCCACATGGCACAAGCTCATGATAATTTCCCAGTCATTTTCCAGTCAAACACAATGAAACTTGTTTATTAAAAAACTTGTTCAAGGGATTGAGCTCTCCATAAAATTGACGTTTCAGTCGCTCTTAACAGGTCTTCTTAGAATATCATTTCTTTCTTCTGTACAGGGCTGTTTAATAAATGACCCATCTCACACACACATACACACACACATATTAGACAATTTAGCGCCCTGCGGCTCAGAGCTTCACTTCCAGACTCAGTGAGGAGTAATGAATTAAATGAGCTCATGTTCTCATCTGCATAAGACAACTCACATGTCTTACCTGTGCTGCCGATAGAGGTGTGCACCTGTAGCTTATCGTTATTATTATTAAAACCCTGTTTTCCTTGCTACAATTCTCCTGTCTTGAGTTTGCATCTGGGTCCTAAGTATAAGACTGTGACAAGTTAAAGAATGACTTTATAGCACTTGAAGATAACTTCTGTCATACTGGTATCTGCCCATTTTCATCTGAGGAAAAACTTTCTTTTATGCTGTTTTTTTTTTTTTTGTAGTGGTCCATGTGGCCTCCTAGTATAGATTTTAGTCAGGTTTCCTCCCTGTTCTTTGAGGAGATGAGATGAACTGGTTTGCCTTGCGCCTGATGTTTAGACATTAGTTTATTTCAGGAAAGTAGAGCCCTGTCTGCTTAAAAGTACAATTGTGGGTATAGCTTTGTCTGGGTGTGGGTAAACACTTAAATTATAAAGGCAATTAATATAATACATGAATATAATGCTTCACATTAATGTAATTAATCAAATGGACTGAGGTGGAGAGGGCTGACAGCCACATGTTCCTTGGCCTACAGGTGACATCTGACCTGAGCTGGTCACTGAACACAGCTGGCACAGTAAAGACAGCCCAGCAGCGGCTATAACTTCATCAGGCGGCTCAGAAAAGCTGAGCTGAACCGTCGCCCTCTCACCCAGGCTTATAGAGAACTGGTAGAGAGCATCCTCACCACTGGCATCACAGTCTGGTATGGTAACACCACACAGGCAGAGAGGAAGGCTCTTCAAAGGGTCATGAAGACTGCAGAGAGGATCATTGGGACTGAACTGCCTGCTATGGACACACTGTACACACAGCGCTGTCGTAAAAGGGTGGGAAACATACTCAGAGACCCACGTGTTCTTTCTGGCTTTTGGCTCCTTACCTGACTCCAAAGGAGAGCTGCACAAGCTGTCTGTTTATGCATACATGGCAAATAAAAATCTTGACTTGACTTGTATATTTGGCGTTGGTGTTTCTGACATATTTAAGCTACATGTTCGGATATAGTGACCAGAGCAGAACTGGCACAAAGTGAATTATAAATGTGTAACAAAATGTAAAATGATGGTGAGGTCATACAACATATCTATTCTAGTGGGGTGCTGGCTTGCAGGTCGACATCAAAGTTGCACATTTGTTACGTTGATGGAGTCTTTTTATTTGGAATTCTACAGATCAAGGTTTCAGTACGTCTCCTCCTTTTTAGGATCAAAGCCAGAATTTATTCAAATTACGTGTGTGTGTATATGAGAGATGTTTTAAATCAGTTCAGAGCGCAAACAACATGAACACTGAGGTCATTCATAGCAAAGACAGGGTTCCACAACTGGCTGATACACACAACAGAAATTCAGAATAGGAATTGCAATGAAAAATAAAGACCTAAATACCCACATTTAAATTAAGCAATAGTTAAAAGGTGCAGT